GCTATTGTTGCGTTCCTCACTTTAATTAGGGTGAAGATGGACCTCTGCAGGAGTTTTGTTCTAATCAAACAATTAACGGTATGTTACTGCGGCGGTGTCAAATTTAGATCTTTGACTTTAATGAGACAACTATAATATCTATAAGCACAAAATAACACTATTATGCTTTAGATATGATTGCTAGTTATGTTATTTTCTGGTGTTTATTGAATTCTTTTATACCATAATACCATTTTATATTTATTGTATTTTATTTTGCCGTTTGTGGTTCATTTGGATTATCATTTTTGTGCAGAACCGTATGAGAAACCCGTCAATGATGGGAGCATATCCTCAGCAAGGTTACCAAGCACGGCCACAAACCAGCTGGGCCCCTCATGGTGAACAAACACAGCAACAACCAAGTTATGGATACACACAGCAGCCTGGAACGTACCCTCCTACTGGTCAATCATCTCAATACAGCATGCCTCAACCGCCATCATACCCCGGTTACCCACCCCAACCAACACCTGGTGGATATGGCCCTGGCTGGGACCCACAATCAAACCAAAACCAGCCAACAGCACCCGGCGGCGGCTATGATTATTACAACCAGGTCCCGCAGCAGCAACAAACCCCTGGAGGCTCAGGTGGGGACAATAGTAGTGTCTATGGCTACAATAATAATCAAGGACAACCTTATGCTCAAGGTGGGTACGGCGGTTATCCTGTACCTGCTCCTCAATCAGGTGGGGGTTATGCTGGCCAAACAAACACCATTCCTGGATATGATCAACAACCGCAAGGGTATTATGGTAATTCCTCGGCTCCACCACCAGACAGCCAAACAACTTATGGGGCCCAGGGAGATGGTAATCAAGCACCTCCCCGTGCAAATCAGGCAGTAGGTCCGCATGGTGGTGGTTATGATGCATCCCAGAATCCTAGTCCTAATGCTGCTTACCCCATTACCACGCATCAAGGAGTAAACCAGATTCAAGGTAGTGGTGGTGGTAGTGGTGGTGGGTATGGGACCCAACCACCTGTGCCTGCTTACAGTGTCTCTGCCAATCATGGACAGCCCACCACAAGTATAAAGCAGCCTCCACCAACTACTCAACAGCCCGGGCAGCCGCCTCAGGTATACCCTACCTCTACTGGGTATGGTGCAGCAGGTTACGGCCCACCACCACCCTATGGAACACCGCTGCCAAACATGACTCATCCCCAATACAACAGCAGTCATGGTCTTGGCGCTGGTGGTTATTCTCATCCTTCAGCCTACCCTCCAATAGTTGCAAGTGCTGTTGGAGGGACCTATGATACGGCGCCGGTGACTGGGTCAGCGAAAACCTCTCCACAGAATTGATTCATGTGCAATTAAGTAGAAGGTATTTTCCAGTGAAAGTCTGAGGTTTTCGAATGCTGAATTTAGTTTCACTGGTTTTTGAGATCTTTATCTACCTGAGAGTATATGGACTTTATATAATATGGTTGCATTTCTTTTTTAGATGTTCCGTTCTCAATTATTCCCCCCTGGAGATGTTCTAAAATACATACAAACTACTACTACTACTATATTTGGAAACATGTTTTTTTCATGTGAATTTCCTTTAATGGCAATGCAGCGATTTGTATTCTCAATGCACTACAAAAGTTCCGCGTCGTAAAAATTACAAGGTGGTTTTTAATATTCTCGGTCCATTGTTTACAATATTCATACCTTGTAAGTTTGGTAAATAGGCGGATAGGCCTAAGAGATAACTGAAAAGTGGAAGTGGGGAAAAGAGCAACGAGTTGTATTTTGTACCTGAAAAATACGTCATAACTCATAAGGAGCATGTTAATGAAGTGGAAGCATCACATATTCACATTCGTTCATCTCTCATTACGACTAAAGTTAACTGTTATCAAATCAATTATCAATGTATCTAGTAGAGTAGTAGTGCATCCATCTTACCAACATACTATACTCATTATGGAACATGTTAGTATGCTTCAGAAATATATTTGTTATTTACAACTTTGACATTTTCCTGGTTCCACCTAGTTGGAGCAGTTTTTGTGCAGAAGTGTGCACATAGCATAACTTGAGGTACCATTAAAAAATAAAAAATGTAATGTATGGACTAGGGATGGACCGGGTCGTCCTGACCTGGGCCCGGTCCGGCTTGGCATTGTGCATGCCTGACTTGGCCCGGTGAATTGGGCTTGGGACCAGGACTGAGGCCTGAACCGGGGATTTCAAATGGCGGGCTACGGGCTTCGAGATTGGTGTGCTACTCATCTTACAGTAGTATACTTATATACTGTAGTCTATAAACATTATATTGTATCTACTTATTATCCACTTTATGAAAGAAACAACAATTGACGTTGGCGGAGATTCCGATTGAATTTTATCAAATGTATTTAATGTTTCAAATAATTTTATCAAATGTATTTAATGTTTCAACTTTCAAATAATTTTCAATTATCAATTATACTTCGTATTTCAATAAATATACATTGAAATTTTTTAGCATGTGACTTAGTTAACACAAAAAAAGGAAAAAGATTACAAATAGCCCGACCCGGCCCGAGCCTGACCAGGAACCTGACCAGGCTACCCGACCCGAACCGTGATCCACAAACCACCCGGGCCGGTACTGGGCCTAACTTTTTTGACCCGGAGCCTAGCCCGGAACCGGCCTAGTCCACCCCTAGTAGGGACTAGGGAAAGTAAGAATAATTTTAAAGAATAGTATTACATGCTGATTTGTACATTTAAACTACTAGATTGATAACATATACTCATGTGTGCATTTTTGTGTGTATACATTATTATTTACATAAGTTCCATGTATAAATACATGGTGTAATCAGTGTTCTAAAACGCGTTGCGTAGGCGTTGCCAAAACGTGTTGCACTGTTGCATATGCCTTTCCAAGCCTCCAAGGTGTGACCGTGAGTATCGTAGACAAGGAGCCTTTTGTTGCCCTTGGCACTCCAAGGTGTGAATATGCTAAAGAAGGAGCCGTTTTCTCTACCTGTGGAAAAGGGGTGGACCGGGCCTGGTCCGGTTCCGGTTCGGGCCTGGGCCCGACCGGGCTGGATGGTTTTGGATAAGGCCCGAGACAGATCCGGGAGTCTACCGGTTTCGGGTTGGGTCAGTTCCGGTTCAATTTTTTTTTTTTTTTTTTTTTTTTGTGTTTTCTTATTTATTTCAATCCCCCCCAACCCCTCGGAAACACCCAGCCCACCTAAACCCAGCCAAAACCCAAAAAACAAAAAAAAAGGGCCGGTTCGCCTTTTTTCATGATCCGGAACCGGTTACCCCCACAGGCCGGGCCTAAGCCCAGAACCGGTTAATTGTAACTAGTTATTTCACCGGTGCTTTGTATTAGAGGTCATTTCGTAATGTTTAATCATAATCTCTATGTAGCATGTCTGCACGGAAACGGGTACGCGGAAACGGGCAGGGAGATACCATGAAATCTATAAAGTAGGATACATATATGAGGGTACTTTTATAAATATTAAAAGTTATGGGGGTGTATTTATAAATATTAAGAAGTACAAGATTTTTTTTGAAAATATGTAAATCTATTATCCTTGGACCTCTGCCCATTCATGGCATTAACGTATTTCACATTATCAAGACAGTTAGAAATAAATTCATTATTTATTTCTTATACAGTAGTGCATTTAAAAATATAAAAAAATATAAGGGATATTTTGACTTTGCACCCCGCTTTTTGGGTGATATTGAACTTTGCACCCCATTTTCAAAACTCTTAGACTTTGCACCCTATTTCCCCTAAAATGTCTTTGCCTTTGCACCTCATTCAAGATTTTTTGTTCACAAAATGTTTTAGATATGGTGCAAAGTCTAAAAGTTTTGAAAATGGGATGTAAAGTCCAATATGACTCAAAAAGTGGGGTGCAAACTCAAAATTCCCCAAAATATAATCAATAAGTCATTAATTTAAAATAAGAATTGAGTCAAGCAACCACAATAATGAACTTAAAAGTTCAAGTACCCAAATTTCTTAGATAATGAAGATAGAAAACAATACTCTAATATAAAAAACTAAAAGTTTTAATACATATTTTCATTGGAGCTACTAATTTCAGTGATAGAATTGTCTTTCAAAAAGACGGCCTCTAATTGTGGTTCATTTAGGGAAAGGTTGGCGAACTCAAATACTCCTATATTCTCCATACTCTCAAAGTCATCTCCACCAACATCTTACATTTTACTTGTCGTCCATCTAAGTTGTGTGCCACATTAAAAAAAAGTTAAATTTATCTATAGTTTTTCATTTTTTAAGAGTTTTATTATTTCTAAATTTTGGGTGATTTTTATAAAAAAACAGTTGATACGTGTATCTGTCAGGATACGGGTATCCGGATTTTAAAATAATTACCGAAAAATAGAAACTTTTAATAAATTGCATATATGACTTGGGAACGTACGATACGAGTATTCTAGAATATCCTACATAGATCACAATATATTAAGTCTAAATTCAAATTAAAACTAATAGTTACGGAGTATAAAATACAATAACACTGTATGTTAATTTAATTCGATATATGAGTTGCATTTTATCATGTACTTTCAATATACGTCAAATTAAAGACTCAAACCAATCCATAAAATCCATAAAAGTTATAGCATTGACGTGTACGTTTGTGTATGTGCAATTTTTTTTTAACCGGAACTGACAACTATATTAATGAAGAAGGTCATTAGCCAACTGGCTAGCAATACAATCCGGATTATAACCGTAACTAAAATTATGGTCTGAGATGCAGACATGCTTTCTCGCTAATGCGTGAGCCGCACGATTCACATACCGTCTACATATAGAGATAACATATGAACTCTTTTCATTCATCAAGAAACGAATATCATCAAGAATGATATCCAAATAAGCCACACCCTCTCCTTTGTGGTAACCACGTACAACCACCTGAGCATCCGTTTCAAAATCCATGATTTCCTAACCGTCCTCAGAAGCGGCTAGCATTGCCGCCCTTAGACCAAAAGCTTCTGCTTCCGCCGGAGTCCAGTTCGCCTTGCATGAAAACCCACCCGCTTTCACAAATTATCGCTATCATCCCTTGCCACCAAACCCCACGCTCTAATGCCCCCTGCTAAGTCCACCGCGGCGTCCACATTGACTTTGATCCTGCCCACCCGCGGCTTCTTCCAAGTCGCATCTTCCATTCTCGAGCTGCTGCTAACCTTCACCTGTAGCTGTTGAGCTTCGTGCCACGTCCGCAGCATGCTCGCGCAATAGTTAATCAGCCCGGCCGCCTGTTGCCATTCTTCGTTTCAAACAAGCGAGTTCCGCAGTTTCCAAAGACCCCAAACCAACATCGCCACCTTGCATCTGAGCTCTTTATCCGGCCCCGAAAGGAGTTTTGCAGCCAAATCTCTAACGGGTCGCTGCCGTTGCCCGCATTCACTCCCGGTGTAGTCCAGGCCTCGGCCACCTTCAAGCAAGTCCGAAGAGCGTGATCCGTTGTTTCCTCTTCCTGTAAACAAGCTTTACACATATTTTGTAACAGTACACCCCTTTTTTCCAAGTTAACAAGTGATGGAAGAGACCCATCAAGAACCTGCCAAATAAAATATTTAAACTTTCGTGGGATTTTTAGGTCCCAAAAATCCTTTCAACAATCCCACCCCCGACTTCCGCACCCTGCATCAATGCTCTATATCAACTTTTAACAGTAAAAATTCCATTTTTCTCCTTGGACCACCAGAAGCCATCTTCCTTTTCCTGAAGACTGGTCGGAATAATACAAATAAATTTACACTCCTCCTGATAAAAAATGACAGAATTCCTCTCCTTATTCCACTGCTTACCAGTAAAATCCCTCAGAGCCGCTACATTCATGTCAGCTATGCCTACCGGTTTAGCTGAGTGTATTTTTCCATCCCCCGGTCCTGGTAGCCACGCATCCGCCCAAACTTGCACGTCCCTTCCATGCCCGACTCGGCGTCTAATATTCTTTCTCAAAATATCTTGAGTTTCAAAAATACTTCGCCAGATAGAAGATGAATTATTACCCAGTTTAGCTTTTAGAAACTCAGAATTAGGAAAATACCTTACCTTGACAATCCGCCTCATGAGACTCCCCGGATTTTGTAGTAGCCTCCAACCCTTTTAGCCAACATAGCAATATTAAATTCTTGAAGATTTCTGAAGCCCAAGGCCCCAAACCCCCAAGCCCCTTCGGTTTACACATCACCTCCCACCTCCTCCAACGGATGCCCCTTTGTTCAAACTTGGTTCCTTTCGACCAAAACTCATTCATGAGCTTCTCAACTTCATCACATAAATTCCGGGGGAGAAGGAAAACATTCATAGCATATGTGGACATAACTTGCACCACATTCCGAAGCAGAACTGCCCTCCCCTGCCCTGGAAAAAAATCGATTAATCCAGCTCTTTATTCGATTAAAAATTCTATTGTAAATAAAGCCTAGAATGGCAGTCTTGCCGCGCCCCACAAGACTTGGTAACCCCAAGTGCACACCAAAAAACATGTAGATCTGTCCGGCCCGGTGGCCCGACCACTGTTTGGAACCGGCCCGGTGACCCGACACTGTTTGGAACCGGCCCAGCCCGGTGGCCCGGCCAGAGACCGGTCCGGGTAGGCCCGGCCCGGGGGTTACACAAGGCGGGCTCGGGTCACCCAAAATAGGAACCGGCCCGGCCGGGCCCGGTTCAAGCCTTTTTTTTTTTCATTTTTTTTTCATTTTTCCCGGGTTGGGCGGGGTGTTTTGGGGGGTGGGGGGTGGGGGGTCGGGGGTTAATTAGAAAAGCAAAAAAGAAAACAATGAAGAAGCCCGGGGACCGGCCTGGCCCGGTGGAAACCCGGGCCGGTTCCGGGCCCAAAGCCAAACCCAAAAAGCCTGCCCAGGACAGGCCCGGTGCCCGGTCCGGGACCGATCCATGCCTAGGTCCACCCCTACTCTCACTTGTCTAAGGCTTGATCTTGCCATGCATTAGCGCTTGCGGCATTTAGACTGGGTGTAATAGTTCCATTTTTACAATTTTACCTATCAAAAGCTATTTATGTTGACTTTGTCAAAAATGTTTTAACCGCAAAAGCTCTTGTATGTTTCAACTAGGGGTGCAAATGAGCCGAGCCGCTCGTGAGCCGCTCGCGAGCCGCTCGGTCAAAGCTCGAATCGGGATCGGTCAAATTCGAGCTCAAGCCGAGCTCGAGCCGGCTCGTTAAGCAGTCGAGCCCGAGCTCGAGCCTTCTAATTTCAGGCTCGCTGGCTCGCGAGCCGGCTCGCGAGCCTAATTTTATATGTGAATATTTATAATATATATATATATATATTATATAATCATATATAATATATTACTATGCAATATAAATTAATATATAATGTATACTGTTATAATGTACGGAGTAATATATATGATATACTCCCTCCGTCCCCTTTTAAATGTCTCGGAAGAGTATGACACGAGTTTTAAGAAAAGTGGGTTTGTGTGATTGATATTAATTGATAAAGTAAGAGAATAAAGTAAAAATAATTTTGAACCACACAAACTTTACCAAATAAGGTATGAGACAATTAAATAGGGACATCCTAATATGGTAAAACAGGACATTTAAAAGGGGACGGAGGGAGTATATAATATATGCTGATTAGTAAAATTTTATAATATTTTAGGCTTAGGTCGTTACTACTCAGTAGAAAAACTTAGAATGGGCCGATGACAATGAATTTTTACTACGGACTCATTATGGAGCATCATAATAGTTATCGAGCCTCGAGCCGAGCCGAGTCGAACCGAGCCTTCTGCGAGTCGAGTTCGAGCCGCGATTTTGTAGGCTTGTTCGAGCCGAGCCCGAGCTCGAGCCGATGCTATATATTTCGAGCTCGAGCTCGAGCCTGTAGAAAATCGGGCTCGGCTCGGCTCGTTTGCACCCCTAGTTTCAACCTATAAAATGTTTTTAACCTCAAAATCTCTTTCGGCACTATTGGCTTTCAAATGAACTTTTCATTAAAAATGAAAATGCGCATTGACAAAACATCAAGCATCAAGTACAACCCAAATGAAGGTAAATAGCATTCACAGATTGTAGGACAGAACACAACATATCTTATTACGGAGTAATAAATGAAAATGAAAGAGTTGTCAATATGAGCATCTGCCATCCCCGTCTGTGATAACATCCTTAAAAGCACCACCACTGGGAATCATAGGTAAGACATGTTCCTGGTGGGGCACGATCACGTCCAACAAGTACGGCCCGGGAGTGTCCAACATCAGTTGAATGGCTGCCCTAACCTCATCCTTCTTCGTTACACGGGCAGCGGGCACATCACAGGCATCTGCAAACTTCAACATGTTTGGGAATATCTGGTCCTCATTGGCAGGGTTCCCCAGAAAAGTGTGGGCTCTGTTTGCCTTGTAAAACCGGTCCTCCCACTGTACCACCATACCCAAGTGTTGGTTATTCAGCAGCATAATCTTAACCGGCAGGTTATCAGCCCGGATCGTAGCCAACTCCTGCACGTTCATCATGAAACTGCCGTCACCGTCAATATCCACAACGACCGCGCCAGGTCTCCCAACAGCCGCCCCAATTGCTGCAGGCAGCCCAAACCCCATGGCACCTAACCCGCCCGAGGTCAACCACTGGCGTGGCCTCCGGTACTTGTAAAACTGGGCAGCCCACATCTGGTGCTGTCCGACACCAGTACTTATTATAGCATTCCCATTCGTTAACTCATCAAGAACCTGAATGGCATACTGTGGAGGAATGGCATCGCCAAATGTCTTATAGCTCAAAGGGAACCTGCGCTTCTGTTCAGACAACTCACTTCTCCAGGATGAAAAATCAAGATTCATCTTGCCCCTTGCCACCCCTCTGTTTTCCAATATTACGTTCAACGCTCCTAGAGCCAGCTTTATATCTGCACAAACTGACACATGGGGCTGCTTGTTCTTCCCTATCTCCGCAGCATCAATGTCTATGTGCACAATTTTGGCCCGGCTGGCAAATGCCTCCAACTTTCCCGTCACGCGATCATCAAACCTCACACCAAATGCAAGCAAGAGATCACTCTTGTCAACAGCGTAATTAGCGTAAACTGTGCCGTGCATTCCGAGCATAGACAGGGAGAGATCGTCGTCCGAGCAAGGGTATGATCCCAGCCCCATCAAAGTACTTGCCACTGGAATCCCAGTAAGGGACACAAAACGATTCAACTCTTGGCTTGAATCTAAACAGCCGCCCCCTACGTAGAGGACAGGTTTTTTTGATTCAGAAATCAATCTGACAATTTGCTCTAGTAGAGCATTGTTAGGTGGTTTGGGTAACCGAGACAGGTATCCTGGCAACCTCATGGGTTGATCCCAATTGGGGATCACCAGCTGTTGCTGTATGTCTTTAGGGACGTCAATCAAAACAGGGCCGGGCCGGCCGGACCTTGCCAGGAAGAAGGCCTCGCGGACGATGCGAGGGATGTCTTCTACATCTAGAACGAGATAATTGTGCTTTGTGATTGATCTGGTTACCTCGACTATTGGGGTTTCCTGGAATGCATCTGTTCCGATCATCCTCCGGGGAACCTGTCCTGTAATGGCCACAATGGGACAACTGTCTAGGAGAGCGTCAGCGAGCCCGCTGACCAGATTGGTGGCTCCGGGACCGGAGGTGGCAATGCAGACGCCGGGGAAGCCGGTGGCGCGTGCGTATCCCTCGGCAGCGAAGACGCCGCCTTGTTCGTGACGGGGGAGAACGTTGCGGATGAGCTTGGAGCGAGTGAGCGCTTGATGAATCTCCAGGGAGGCGCCGCCAGGGTATGCAAACACGCGGGTCACGCCCTCCCGCTCGAGGGCCTCCACTAGGACATCGCTTCCCTTCCGCGGCTCGTCAGGGGCGAATCTGGAAGCAAAGGACTGCTTCGGAAGGGCCTCGGGGGCGGCAGCGGGAGGCGAAGACGAGGACAGAACATTGGAGATCACAAAATGTCGGCGGCGGCGGCGGCTGTCAGAGTCGGGAGCATGCGGAGTAGTTTTATTAGGGGAACCAAAAGAGATGACCGGGACGGGATTACGATATTTGGAAGAGAAGATAGCAGCGGTTGAGAAGGGAGCAGCGGCGGGCGCCATTGTCGGGGGGTTTGAGATGAATGAATGTTTGGGGGCGCTCCTCAATTTCACAGAAGACGATCCATTAGGTGAACGAAAAGCCTATAATGTCCTTACAAACACGACATCAAAAGAGCGAACCTAAGAGAACGAAAAGTCTATAATGTCCTCAATTAGGTACGAACCTAATTTGTACGTTGTTACGGAGTATTAATTAAAAAATAATATTACGGAGTAGGATGCGAGAAGGAAAATAAGAGAAAACACTACCTAAAAAGAAAGAAAACAAAACAAAAAAAAAAAACTATTTCCAAGGGAAATAATGGTCCGAGGCCTAGGTTTCATGTTGTCACGTCTTTTGTTCTTTTGAGATTTCTTGTAAATTTTGAGCTTATGCTTATGTTGTCTGTTGATAGACAATTATCCGGGGTAATGAAATTAGCTTTGTAAGAAATTGCACTGTTGAATTTGAATTTTCTAATTTCTTCGGAGTTACCTAATTTGCACCTTTTTTTATCATCAAAGAGCGACTATTAAATTAAAATCGAAAACACATACAAGACAATCTTCAAACAAGATTTACAGATCTAATCGTGAACCCTAGGAGTAGACTTAGAGTCAGTCACCTCATACAAAGCAACATGACTCCCTAAACCTGAAACGGTCAAATTTAGGCCTAAAACGATCGGAACCGAAACTCTGCCTATCAAAATAACTCCAAAAATCCAAACATTCATACCAAATCTACTCGGAATAAATCAGAAACAAGTGCTACTAAATAGAAAATAATACCGAAATAAAATCTTGTCAGAAAGCTCTTCCTGGTATGGAGGCGGTTCCGGAAGAGGACGAACTCTTGCAATATGGGTGAATACCAACTCCACCCGCGGAATGGCCGACTAAGGCTTCACGATCCAGTCTCGATACAACCTCCCAACCGCACCCCGTTCATCCGTCAACGTTATCTTCTCAGACGTAGTTGCAATCCCAAGTGTTAGAACAACTAAAATCAGCATAATGTGCCGCTCCAACCCCATATTGATAGGGGCGGCGGAAAATCTCAACCCCTACAAAGAGGGGAGACGGCCGCTAGGGTTCTTCTCTCTCTAACGAGAAGAGAGAGTTCCATAACTACCTAATTTGCACCTTGTATATTACTAAATAAGAGCTTGTTTGGTAACAATGTTTTTTGGCTTATCACACCTATCAACTAATTTTTTCATCAAACACATAACTTTTGATTTTGCGGGCTGAATTATGTAATACTAAGAAAAAGTAAGATTGAAGTTACCTTTATGACTGTATTGGCTTAAGTTACTGTAGAGAATTAGTTTATCTATTTTCACATATAACTTTTTCTTTATTTTATTAATAAAATATATTCTAAATACCATATGTTTTTCTTAAATCATCATATTCAACAAATTCAGTCATTTCTGCTAGAATTTTATAAATTTCAGCAGAATCAGTCGATTCATCCAATTTTGATGTTGTCAAACAGAGTCTAAATGTGTACTTGCATGATAATAATAATATTACGGTAATAAACAATACCAATGAAAGGGCGAGTGTGGTACATTCGTACCACTTTTTTTCTTTTATATGGTACCTTATTTTTATTTATTAAAACATGTAGAGTGTGCATGAAGAAGATTCCAATCATCAATATTTCGAATACCAATTTTATTGGTACTTGATTTAGTTTCCGACCAACTAAAGAGTTTAATTACCAACGAAATTCATGAACTATTCAAAAAAAATTGACGGAGTAAAGAGTACAATCAACTCATATTTGAGTTTAAAAAGTACATCAACTTTTCTATGTAACATTATACTACTTCTATCCCAGATTATGTGTCTTAGTTTGGTTAGACACAATTATTAATAAGGTAGTTGAAAAATAAAAGATGTGATTGAGATATATGAGTATAAGCTTCCAAAAGAAAAAGATATATCAATATAAGAAAGTGAAATGTTGTAAACCAAAAAGAAAAATGTGACACTTATTTTGAGATAATTACATGTAAGATGAGACGAAGAGAGTAGTAGTTCTATGAGCTACACATTTAAGAACTCAAACGTAGTTGATTTTTCAAAATCACTCTATACTAAGCTAAATTAAAAACAAAATAGTATTGTCAATTTCTTTATGAATACAACATCCAACATTTACAGCAAAAGTACACTAGTCTATTTTATCAAATGCTTCATAATTCCTAATTTAATAGCATTTCAATATTTTCAATTGAATATTATAAACGATCATAAACATAATATAAAAGTAAGCACCAGAAATCTAGTCTTTTTTACCTTTTAAAATTTTAATTAATTTAAATTAAAAGTTTTCTCTCCAAGTTTTCCAAGTTTTCTCTCCATATTTGACGAGTACCATAATGTTACTACGAAAAAAAGTTGAAGTAACCTTTAAACTCTAATGCAAGTTAGTGTATTTTGAAATAGGTGGAGCAAATTGTGAACTCCAATGTAAGTTGATATGTAGACAAGTTTAAGTCCCAAATGAACACTATTCTAAGAAAAAAATACTCGGAATATCACAAAATATTACTTACTAGATTTCTGTTTGTACAATTTTATCACAATAGAACTACTAAATTGTTGTCTCTACATTATTGTCAATGAATTAATGACATGTATATTTTGACGTGAATTTGATAGTCTAGTTTGATATATTTTAATCTAGTTTGGTCTGATATGATATGTTGTGAACCAATTCGATGAGGTATACTCTAGTTTGATACTTTTTAGTACTATTGCAACTCTGATTGTCTAGTTTTGCCTGTTTTCAACTCTCTATTTTGTTTTAAATGCATAAATATAATTTAATCTAATACAATCCAGTCCGATCTGATTTGTGACACATATAATCACAAAACATATATCAAAAGGTCCAAGAGATGTTGATCCTATATTTGAAAGAGAAAAAGATGATCCTTTCGAGCTAAGACCGAAGAACATCAAGCACTTCATGAGCCACTTGCTTAAAGCTCCACTAGGGTTTTGTCAAACTTAAGGCGTATTTGAAAATGTGACTTTTAAAGTGATTATAAAGGAAGTTCTTTAAAGCAAAAGTTGATAGTGCTTTACAATAGAAGTGATTAAAGTGAAAAAAATAAAATTGGAGTATTTGATAAAAAGTGATTTTTTATAAAATATTTTGTTTAACTACAAAATTATCCGTACACAAACCATTTTTTTTATCAAATCCTCATTTCAACGTCGCTCCTGGTCTTTTGAAGTAGTGGATGGGGCTCCATCTCTCCTCAAATTACTTCGCCCAATTCGGTTAAAATTACGGCATCGAAAATCTCAGCTACAAAGGCATGACAAGCAAATGATGACATCTTGTTGCCAACCCTACATCCATCTATGTAGGCAATTGAATGTATGTAAAAAAAATTGGCAGCCCAAGAAGGCATTCCCACAAGGCGAGTGAGGAATGCTCAAGAGAATTGAACTTGTGACCTCAGTCACACAATAACATCTTAATCGGTGCGCCAAAGCTCTCCTTCTACATTTTAAAGTGTATACTATTATAATTATTATAATCTATCTGTATCTATAAGAGAATCCAAATCTACCGGCATAATTGAAAAATACAAATATAAGAGAGGATAAAATGAGAGGCAGTCGAGAGAGTTGAGTAAGGAGGGAGAAGCAAGGTGATATGGAAATAGCTTTACAGAAAATGGAGTTATAGAAATACCCTTAAGAATGAGCGGGGAGAGACTTAGTTCATTTAATTAATATATTGATAGATTATAATAATTAATAATAACAAATAACATTAATACTAATATTAATAGGAGAGATAAGGGGGGATTTTTGGAGAGGGGATTGTCCCTTTAGGTATAGTTTGATTTGATTACAAACCAGAATCCAAATCTGTCGGCATTTCCAAAATGCAAATAGAATGAGTAAGGAGAGAGAAGCAAGTGACACCAAAATAGATTAATAGAATAGGGAAAAATAATTAAAATACCCCATACTTTGAAGAAGTATGAGATAAATACTCCAAACTTTCATATGTAATTTATATGCCCCAAATTTATATAAAAAATTATTTTAGCACCATGATCATATATTATTTCTTAAAAAACATAAATTTATGGTTTTAATTGCATAATTTAAAATAGCATATTAAATTTGTTGCAATTATATAGAGTGGGGGTAGTATTATTTATTTTACAATGGAGGTTTAGAATGTTAATTAAATCTTCATGAATGCTAAAATATTTTAAATTAGGGATAAGAGTCAGATAGGGCCTCGAACTTGGAAAAAAATGTCAAATAAGGCCATATTTAGGATGCTGTGTCCGGATGACGCCATTTGGGGCGGTTCCCGGTGAAATTTTTTGATGAATTTTTTTGAGAATCTTATTCATTAAGTCTAGTTTAGTCATATCAAATTTGAACTAACAATTCAATCGGGAAGGCATTGAAATGAATTCTTGAAGATAACTGCGCTTTTAACTGCACAGTTATCTTCAAGAATTGATTTGAATGCCTTCCCGATTCAAGTTTTAGTTCAAATTTGATATGAGTAAACTAGACTTAATGAATAAGATTCTCAAAAAAATTCATCAAAAAATTCCACCGGGAACCACCCCAAATGGCGTCGGCCGGACAGAGCATCCTAAATATGGCCTTATTTGACATTTTTTTCAAGTTCGAGACCCTATCTGACCCTTATCCCTTTAAATTATGAAATTAACACCAAAAATTAACATTTTTTAAAGAAATAATGTATGACTGTGATGCTAAAATAACTTTTTTATATAAAATTTGAAGTATTTAAATTGCATATACAAGTTTGGAGTGTTTACCTCACACCCCTTCAAAGTTTGGGATATTTTAATTATTTCCACCAATAGAATATGGAGTTACAGAAATACACTTAAGAATGAGCATGAAGATACTTAATAGTTATAATAGTAAATCAAATTAAACTTTAGTACTGGACGATGAGTGCTAGTTAAATACCAAGTACACAAAAGTGTTACTTGTCATTTTTAACAATGTGATTACGAACTGTCAACTAGCTGTCAAAATTAAAAGTTAACATAATTATCCGAAGCCTAATCAATTAAAATTAAGTATAAAAGTTAACATACTATTCCGCCTTAAAGTAAAGCTGGCATTCAGTACTATGAGAACTTTACTATGGAACAAATATAGTAGTATTTAATGAAAATCCTCCTTCCTCAATGCACTTGATATTATTTAGGTTGGGGAACAATAATATTTTGTATACTATATACAATACCGTATGAAAGTTTAAAACTTTTGCATTTGGGTATCGTTTCAATGTATTAAAATTTTGTCTGGATACAATAGTGTGTTGATATACCACTTCTTAAACCCTTGCGGCACCACCTGATAATCCTTCCTCCTCATGCATCCCACTCAAAGGAGGTGGTTCTTGAATGCCGAGAGCATCTTTGGGGAAAAGAGCAAAACGAACGTCAAAATAGAGCCCAAAAGCAACTTGGTTATGTAGCGCAAGACAGCTTCTTCAGTTGGAGGGGAGTTGGGTGATGTTGTTGAGACTGTTGCAATGGCAGACGGAAGAGCTTCGATCGCTGCATCTGCAAGGTCAGTTATGAAAGTGGAGGTGCAGTTGAGGGCTGGGACCCGGCCCCAATTCACAATTCCGGATGCAAGAGCCAACTCTCGGTATTCCATATCAATCTCTTCAAGTGTCTCTATGTGCTCACTCACAAAGCTGCAATCACAAGGATAATGTGTTAAGACCCCTCTGTTGTATGGTCCTATGAATGATACAAATTCCCTATGTTTTCCAACAACAGAAAGGATGGATTTTTAGGGAAAAGAGGACAATAAACGAAAACAGACTACTACATATGTCAATTTTACGGTTCTGTTTGGGTCAGATATGCTCAGGCCAGTCGTTTGACCCACTGCTTGCCCTTTTAAAAAGGCAAAACTCTTCTTTCATAGGGCTTCCACATGTGCTTTCCATTTTTTCACAATTCTTCCATTGGTTCCGCAACTCGCGCGCTTTCACAATTATTACTTATTTACCACTTCCCGTTATTCATTCCCCATAATAATAGTAATAACACATTACTATTTTACCACTTCACCTTAGTACATATAGGCAATCAAGCACACTTCTCTAAGCTTTATTGAGATGAATTTGTGAAATTGTTAACAAGCATGTTATCAACCCAAATGTGGTTTTTAATAACTTTTTGTAGTCAACAACAACAATAACAACAACATTACCACAATGCCGCAAAGGCACCCACCTACGATGGGGTAAAGCAAGCACAGAGAGATTGTTTACGAAGGACTCATGATGAGAATCACGTCGAAAATTGCATGGACTGACTGATGCTTCATCATAATATAGAAGCACAAAGAATTTAGTGAGCCATTTTTCTTTATTCCATCATATTCTCAAGTCAAAAAATAGTGCGTCTTGAAATTCATTGAAAATGATGGAAATCTTTTTGTTGTTGAACTGTTAAAATCATGTAAAAAATATTAACTTATTACTTCATTTGTGAATATTTAGAATTTGCAGAGCTATCTTTGATTAGTATATAGTGATGACAAGGATTTACGTTTTCCATTTATTGATAGTGTACTCACCTAATTTTGGATTTTGTTTCCAATTATTTTTTAACTTCTGAATTTATTCTGATTTATATTTTGCTAATTTCATTTCCCCCTCTTTTATTGCAATCCAAGTATCTTCCGGAAACCGCCTCTATGTGCTTTAGGATGTTTTCTTTGGGACTGAAATTTGCTGGTATTTGGACGAGTAAATGTCTGGTCTTTGTGTATTTTATAACTATGGAAGTCTAGTCTAGTCTGGGACCAAAAACAGTCCAACATTCAATTTATTGATAGAGACCATCCTTAGTACAGGAGTAAGACTGCGTATTCCCGACCTCTCCTTACCCCACTAAAGGTGGGAGCCTTTGCGGGGTAATGATGATATTGCAATCCAAATATCTTGAAAATTAGGAAATATTCAATCCATATGTGTTCCTGCCCCATCTGAGTGCAAATATTATAACTAACATAGCAAATAATTGATAGAGACCAAGACTCATGGGCTTAATATTTTTAATAAAATGTTATAGTGGGTTGGGCCAAGTAATTAGATAGATTGAGGAAAGCCTCATTTGGAAAAGAATAAATAGAAGGGATGGAAGAGAGGAGGGGAGGCTGGAATTAGTTTGGGACTTGTCTTGGGAGTGCTGGAGACTACTCGAAGTGTCTCCAGTGTATCTTTCTTCTTTTCAGTTTCATCAATTTACCGTCAAATTTCCGTGTACCTATCATTGGTATCAGAGCCGTCGACCCAGGGGATCTTCGATCTACATTCAAGCGACAAACAATGGAGCAGCGCAGGAAACAGCAGGTGGTAAATTGAGAGAGTGTGTCTACGCAAGGCGGAAAGGAACCGCGCAGGCAGCATGGAAGATCCGATCAGGATGCTACGCGCGGAAAAGTAGAGAAGGTTGCGGAAAAGGTTGAAAGTAATTGGGCGAAGGAGATGCGGATCTGGTTGGACAAGATGCGAACAAGCTGCGTCAACAACGACGCCGGCGAGGACGATCACGGACCGTGCGTCGCTGCCAGAATACCAAAGGTTCATCCCTATCGCAGACTGAGTCGCGAACTGCTTGTCCTAGTTCGCAGTGCTTCTCTGAGTTCGCAGGTTTCATGTAAGTCGTCAAACTCTTCTCCCAGTACACCAGATTCATCGCAAGCAGAATATCTCAGTTCGCAGGTTTCTTCGCGAACAGCTTTCACCAGTTCACAGTCACCCGAAGTTTCTCCCAGTTCGCCATCTTCGCCCCAAACAGTATCTTCCAGTTCTCATTCTCCATCACAAGCGGATTCCTACATTTTGCAAGCTTCCTTGTTGCAGCAGGAGTCTGTTAATCAGTGGCAACATTTCCCTGAAGATGCATACACAGATGGCGGCGATGCAGGGGAGGAGCAAACTGAACCTAAAGTGGGAATAATTGCTCGATGTTGTACTCGTAACGTTTCTTCCAAGTACAATGTCATAAAGGACTTGGAAGCCAAACTGTTCAAACAGATGGATCATAGAGGTTCTGGAGAAGAATATATAAACCAATACATGATGACGACAGAGAATAGAAGAGCACAAGTGGTGGGGACACTCTATGAGAATTCTCTGACTGAACCTCAAGTCCTTGATGCAGACAGGTATGTACAAATGACAGCAGAAAATTACCACAATTGGGCTATCAAATTGGGCTCAGGATCGCTTCACTATATACAAGTTGGAGACAATAGAGGAGCTAGTGGTATTGATGGTTTCAGATTATATGTTGTTACTTCTATGATGTGTAATCACCTTGGGTTGGTGCTAATGTTTACTGCGGATTACAATGACTATTTTGGACATGCTACTAAAGTAGATGTGGTTGTGTATCGGATGCTTGTCAACAACCTCATTCACAATTATCCAGTAACTAACTCCGAACTGAGTGTGATTTCTGGGAAAACACTTGAAACTGTAGGAGCTACAATCATATATGATGACCAACTTCCTCATCAGTTCAAGAGTACAGAGGGGCTTATGCAAGTGATATGTTGTAAAGGTGTACATTTTGGGGGTTTTGTGTTTGAAGCACACCTGGCTTCCATATTATGGAACCATTGCGATGATGCTCCTGGCGAAGAGACCGCAAACTTCCAGAGGTGCAGCTACTGGTTGCTTGAAGAGGAGCAGTCAAACATTGTTGTAGTTCACGACAGGGAAGTAAAGGGTAGCAGGAGGAACCACAGTCGTGCTCAAGAACCTCCATTAGTTATTCCCGCTTGTCTAGATGGTAAAAGAGATGTGAACAGCTCTGATGTGGGCATTACACTTGGTAATCTTATCCCCCAACAATATTATTACCAAACAAAAGCACATGCTACACATGCGGGTAGCCTTAACAGTGCTCAAGCCTCAGATTATGAACAAGCTAAAACAGCAGTGCACAATCAACTATCAACTCCTGGGATGCACTCTTTTACTGAGTTTCTAGCAATCATGAACCCCAAGGGTGAAGATGAACTTTCTGCTCCTTATTTTCCAAGCTACATCTTAATTGCTCATCAAGGCCATTTTCCAGCGGTTTGTGGATTCAAAGGCTGAACAGAATCCAGGTAATGATCTGGATGTATCAAAAGGTGAGGATTGGGAGTTGAAAGTGGTTTCCGGGATTGGTGGCAGAATAATATCCATGGAGCATCTTCCTACTGGAACTCAGTAGCTTTACAGCCGAGTAGATATAAACGGCAATGCAACATATAGTGGATTTGGGTACAAACCTGCTGGATGCATGAAAGAGTGTTATGTCATTGAAAAGAATCAAGAGCATGCAGGAGTCAAATCTTTTGCATTGCAAGGAAATAAGGAAGTTTTGGTTCAATGGAGACAACGATCAGATTTGGAAGATTTTTGGGAAAGTTTCAGCAAATGCCAGGAGGAATGGGTGATAAAGGTTCAAGTACCAAAGCTAAAGGCACTGAAATCGGTGAGGTACTGGGAAGGAAGGGGCAGGAGGATGAAGCTGGATGGCATGGCTGCTCTTACTCCCCACCTTGAGGACAAGGTGGTTGTCAAAGGGGGGAGTGATGATAGAGACCTGGACTCATGGGCTTAATATTTTTAATAAAATGTAATAGTGGGCTGGGCCAATTAATTAGATAGATTGAGGGAAGCCTCATTTGGAAAAGAATAAATAGAAGGGATAGAAGAGAGGAAGGGAGGCTGGAATTAGTTTGGGACTTGTCTTGGGAGTGCGGGAGACTACTCGAAGTGTCTCCAGTGTATCTTTCTTCTTTTCAGTTTCAGTAATTTCATCTTAATATACTTCAATTTACCGTCAAATTTCCGTGTACCTATCAATAATGAACCATAGAATTCTGCAAGTTGAATATTGACCAATAGCAAGAGCAGTATGATCATTCTGGCGCATAAAGTATAAACTAGGCAAACTTCAATGCATAGCATATTCATACCTCACTGGAACAGCCAGCAGAGATTTCACTCCTTTCTTTCCAAGTTCAACAAGAACTTCATCAGTGTAAGGTTTCAACCACTGTACGGGTCCAACTCGGCTCTGATATGCAGGGTAAAAAAGAACCAAATTCAGTTCCAGTAGGTAAAAAAGTTTTATTAAACCCAGGGAAGAAACAACTAACAGCCACTTACAGAAGGTAATTTAAAAATATTTTTCAATGGTATTATAAAAAAAGACGGAATGAAGAGAACCTGGTAAGCCAAAGTATGCTCATTGTTAACTCCTCTTGATTTCAGTTCTTGGATTATCAGTGAAATGCATTCTTCCATCTGATCCCTGTATGGATCACCAGCATCCTCAACATAACTGACAGGTACTCCATGTGCACTGAAGAATATCATTGCCTAGAAGAATCAACATACCATGTATTACGACTAGACAAAAATATCCATAAGGAATAATAAACCCGTGCAGATGTAAATAATAAAAATATCCATACCAGTGCATATGGGAATGAAAGGAAAAAATTCTGAGGAGAATGCTATTTTTTTCTTGAGATATTACCCAAAATGGGACTAAAAAAGTTTTGAAATTCCACAATAGGACTTCCATGTTTTTATTCCCAAAATAGGACTAATTACTGTCATGTTTTGACAGTACCAGACTTCAAACATGACAGTATTTTCCAAATTTGGCAGTAATTAGTCCTATTTTGGGAATAAAAACATGACAGTCCTATTTTGGAATTTTCAAACTTTTTTAGTCCCATTTCGGGAACTTTCCCTTTTTTCTTGGAAAGTGGGAAGAATAATAGAGTTTTGATTATATTTTTCAGATGTAACATAGATTTCATCTTCATCTCTATGAGTTTATGACTTCAAACAAGTATCTTAATTTAATTTACTTGAACCATGTTGTTCCCTCAAACTCTCTTTCCTTCTAGATTTCCTTTCTAAATTGATTTTTATTTTATTTTCCCTAGCATTTTCCAGATTCCAAACTGACCCCAAATAGGATGGAGGAAATCAGGGGAAAAAACAAAAAAAAAAGGCATTTTAGCACCTACAAATATCTTTGAGATAACAAAGGGTAAAAAACAATTTACCTCATCAGGCTGTGGAAACTTTTTAACCTCTTTCTCAATCAAGTCAGCCATGGACGTGATGTAACCCTGTCGTTGATACCATGACTGTATGATAGCCACAGGTAGTCTACTCAAATATGGATCTCTCCTGAAAGTACAAAGGTTTATCTTATGTACAAAATTTAACAAAATATAGATTTATGCATATTTTATAAATCAGACACCAGCTAAGATGGCTTTACCCAAAAATATTCTGAAGAACACGGATGCTTGATCCAGTCGTCGAGATGGAATATTGAGGATATAGGGGACTAGGGGTAACACAACAAGTCTCGTAATTCTATCTCGTTTGATCTGCCAGAAAGGCATAAAGTTGATTTAAAAAATAAAAGGAATGAAGACTTATTCCATAGCTTTCAGTACACGTGCCATTCCATAACATAACAACAGAAGTGAAAAATTCACAGTTACAAATAATCTAGATAAACGCCTAAATGTACTTTCTTTCTTTTATGATCATCCACAGAAAGTAACCGTCGGTGAGAAAAATAAATGCAATGAAAACCAGACATCCTACTAGGTTATAAACAAATAACACATGCATTATTTTCAAATGTAAAATCTTAAATCAGACACCTGAAGGTCCTGAAGTACCCTGGGGTTATAAAACCAGCAAACAACTCATATTTAGCTCACCAACGTGTAGTCGAAGAAAAAGGGCACAAGATCTTAAGCACTGCCCATAGTTTCAACTCAAGATATAATCATGCATACATCCACTATACTTCAGAGAAGGAAAGCAGCAGCAAAAGAATTTTTTGAATGTGTTGGGAAGATAACATAATAGGTAAAAAATACAACACCTTGAAGTCAATTGTGACTTAAAGTTCTTCATTAAAACATGCAGTAAGTGATATGAAGTATAGCTCTTTATATAGTACTGTACTATTAATTTACAATGCACTATATTATAGTAGCTCACTTCCAGGGATTGACATTATTTCTTTAGTTTAGAATTTAGATACATCATGTCATCAAGTACACAAGTGTGATAATCACAGAACATTAGCTGCCAAAGTATAGATTATTAACTAGTTATCTGAATCATTATCTAAACCTGCCTGTTGAACAGCTTCCTCAGTAAATGGGTGCCAGTATCTCATAGCAACGTAGACATTAGCAGAGACTTCCTTCTCTATCAGTGCCATTTTTAAAGCATTTGCCTGGAAGGATAAAGTTGTTGAAATTGAAATGCTACAAGCACAGTTTGTATCACAGATATAGACAGTTTTCCGCATAGATTTTTAAAGCATTTGCCTGAAAGTACTAACTACGAGTAGCAGAATAAGTATACCTGATCATCTGTGATTCTTCGCAGAGGTGAACCGCCTCCAATTGCAGCATAGCCTTCCTTACTTTTGGGAGCTCGTAGAACAGATATTAATTGTGCTAATGGGCGCTGTAGGAATTGAAATAACCTGGGGAGGCGTATAATATCCTAGCACAGACAAGCAGTTTTATCACGCATCAGCATAACAAAACTCCATGCACCTTCCACATTTCAAAGTCAAAATAAGGGTCCGTTTGAAACTATGAAAATGCTAGGGACATAAAATAGGGAGGGGGCTATTGAATAAATAAGGAGGGAGAGAAAATGTGAGGTAAAAGAAATATTAGTTCATACTCAATATTTGTTTTTATTTTATTAAGCTCCTTTTATTTATATAGACTTGGAAGTCTGTAAAAAAAACTCAGAGTAATCACATTTCATTACCACATTTCATTACCCTAAATGACATGGACAAAAAAGAGACCAGTAGCATACAGGATCAGCAAACAGATTGAAAAGGAATGGTTGAACATCGTGAAGTGTATCTGGCCCTCCAAGGTTCAAAAGAAGCACCCATGTCTTCTCTTCATGTGTATGTGATGGAAATTCATTTACACTTTCAGGATATGTACAGATCCCAACAGAGCAAAATGTCTTGCCAAATTGAGCTCTCTTTTGCAATGGGAAATGTAGAGACGATCCTCCAAGTGTGTGACTTTTGTTAGCAGCTGGCTTGGAACAAATGCTTAGAGGAACCTCAAGAGAGCTACAAGGCTTTTGGTGTTGACTACGTGGGATATTGAAAGTAGGAGTCAGTCTAATCTGAGGGGAAACGCTGGAAAGGAAAAGGACAAGGAGTTGTAAGAATGAGCTCAATAGAAGCAACTGAATGACCAATGACATGGAATAGTATAGTTGCATCACATAGGCTGGTGGAAGGGATTGTGCTCCCCTCCCCTTTTATGGCTATACAAAAATGAAAGAAGTTCAAAAATGTAAGAACAAGTTCAAATAACCATCCTATATAATCATTAATCAACCGCAACTACCTAATGCATATATGTTCCTTGTGAATTATGTTTTTTGTAATGGTAAGAATAAACCTTCAATACAACAACAATCATAACCAGTTTCAGAGCAATAAGGGAGATATTATTGAATTGATCACAAAAAAAATCTGAAGACGGAATAAATGAATGAAGATCGCGCCAATATTGCAACTTACGAGGGATAGGAAACAGTGGTTTTGAAATTGCGGAGGTTCATCTTGGAAACGACGGAAGAGCTGTTCGGATGTATACGGAGGAAATGGCGTATACTTATTACTCCGTAATAATTTAATAGGGTTTGGGGTTGCTCTGCACACCGATTTTTGGTCAAAAGTAACGTAGCAGGTGCGCGGAGCAACACCCGGTTGGTAAATGAAAGAGGAAATGGGAGAAGGCATGTTCAAGTTCGGAAGTGTCAACAATGGTGGGTAAACTATTGGGCCCCGTTTAATGGGCTGAATGGCTCTAGTGACTTAGAGGCCGTTTGGAACTATTGTTTTTCAACTTATCAGGCTTATCCGCCAACTTTTTCACCAAACACGTAATTTTTGCTTTGGCGCGCTGAATTGTGTAATAAGCAGAAAAGTAAGGTTGAAGTTACTTTTCTGAGTGTTTTGGCCGAAGCTACTGTAGATGATCATTTTAGCTATTTTTACATATAATTTTTTCTTTATTTTATTAATAAAATATATTTTAAAAATATTTTTTTCTTAAATCAACAGAATCAGCCAATGCAGCCACTTCAGCCAAAACTTCATAAATTTCAGCTGAATCAGCCAAAACAGCCGATTTTCGTGCTACCAAACAGACTCTTAATCGTTCAGTTATATTGGTGTGTTTACATGGGACTTATTTTTTCGGTCAGACGTTTTTTGACTTAACCTGACACTTCTGCCTATGAGCTATCTCCGTTTTATCCCCGAGTCTCGGTATACTTCGCTTCTCTAACATCACCGATAATACCCAAGCCTGTAGCTGCGAGCGGCCTATCGTGAAATAAGCTTCCCTGCCTTCTTCGTCTAGGTATTAGCTCCACTTCTTTCTTTGTCTAGGTATTTGCTATTTTTTATATCTATTTAAGGTTTTCATTTCTTTTTAAGATTGCACAGTTTTCCTTATTCTCAATCTAATTGTTCTCTTATTGCACAATCTATGTTTCCAATTTGCTGGTAATTTGATTATATTATCTATTTTCATTTTCTTTGTAGACGTTTGCAAGTTCTTTTTCCTTCTCTTCCACTTTGGCCCTTAGCAGGCTCACCTCATCAAATTCTTTCGGGGCTATCATCTAAAACCACACTTGCAGGGCTGTTTTCTTTTCCATTGTCAGGGAAGTTCTCCTGCACCAGTTTCTTTGCAATCTTTGTTGGGTTAATTGCTCCTTAAGACATTTTAGTTCCTTCT